AAGACTGACGGCTGTGAAATATTTAAGGTATTAAACGAGTGTAGCATGAATAACGAATGGCGTAAATAACGTTCCGTTAAGCGTGTAATTCCACATTGTATTACGGAGATATAAGCTATGTGTAAAGTAATAATAATCATCATTGAAGACGGTTAACTTAATATCAAATTCTACAATATTACAATATAATAAGTATTATATTGTAATATAAAATTCGTTTTAAAATTGACTTTTTTTTCGCATAAAAATATTAATTTGTTATTCCTCTAGTACAGTCAATTAACAAATCGCAATTTTTTAAATCGTCGATTCACAAGAATAGAGTATCTATCTATTCTTAAACTGAAAACAAGACGATAATCTCAAGGAATCCAAAATCGTTCTTAATCTCTTCTTCATCCTTTGTGTCCTTTACTATATCCATATTTCTTTCCAGAATGATGATCACCCTTCTTTCCATAAGAATCATGATGACTGTAATGCTCATCGTGTCCATGTTTCCCATGATGACCTTTGTGCTCCTCGTCGAGGTGTCCCTTGTCACGATGACCCTTTTTACCACGATGATCCTCGTGATACCCGGAATGATGATGGCCACCTTTCTTATGCTGACCTTCCTTCTTCTCGTGATGCCCGTGGAAGTCACCGTGTTTCTTATGATGTCCCCCTTTATGGTAGTCATCGTAAAACTTGTGCTCCTTGTGATACTCGTCCTTGTGGAACTTGTTGTGATACCCTTTCGTCTTGTGACCTTTCTTGTGCCCCTTCTTCTCCCCAAACTTGCCAGCCTTGTGCCCTTTCTCACCTTCGTGGTGTTCCCCGTACTTCTCGTGCTCATCGTGGTGCCCCTTCTTCTGGCCACCGTGTTCCTCGTGATGACCAGAATGATGATGTTTGTCGTGCTCACCCTTGTCGATCTTGTCGTGATGGTGATGGCTCTTGTATCCTTTCTCACCCTCTTCACCGTGTTCCTCGTGGTGATCGGAATGGTGGCTCTGCCCCCCTCCGGACTCGTGACGGTGGCCTTGGTGTCCGGAGGCAGCTGGCACGAGGTCAGTCTTCGACTCGACGTTGGAGGTGATGGGCATCGAGGTGACAGAGGTGATATCCTCGGCCTGGATGTCTCGACGACCCCGAATGCTCACCAATTCTCGAGCAACGCATGTTTGAAACAATAATAGAATTACGGGCACGAAACGCAGCATCTCCAGATCAAGCTTCGACTGATGATCGCGTAGCCACCGGTCCACACTTAAATATCCACGGTTCGATCGTTCCTTCGAGGGGCTTCCGACCGTTTCCTTCGATTCCGCTTTCATCCGCGCGACCGCAACGCTTCCGCCGCGTGGGGCGTACCTTTCACACTTTCTCGAGCCCGTAATGAAACGATCCAGTGTTTTTCGGGGTGAAAAAACACGGATGGTTGGAGTCTGATTGGAAGTGATGCAATCAAACATCACGGAAATGATCGAGAAAAGGATCGAAGAATAAAAATAGGAATATAATTTAAACGCAGAAGTTGGGAACGATGGAAGAAGGAAATGGCGTTAAATGTCGTGTGTAATTCGAAGAATTGGGAGTAGTAAGTTGGTGATGGATTTATTCGTTGAGGAGGTGTATGATCGATCTGTTTTCTATGGAATTGTGCATGCTTTGAGGGTATTTTTACTTAAATTCCGTGTAAAGTCTTTTTGTTGTACATAGTATGAAGTGAAAGTATGGTTACATAAGGTTTATAGAAAATAAAAATGAGTCAGAATTTTCAATTTGGAAAAAAATGTGATATATCACATTATTTTAATAAAAAAATTTGTGAAAATTTAAAAAATCCTGTATAATTTATTTATTTATTTGTTGGGCATGCCTTCTTTTTTCCATGTGTGCATAAATTCATTATATCTATATCTCTGTATATTTAAATCATCTTGAAAAAGCATGGATATTAATATACTATCCTATAAGAATTTTTGGATAGTGAATATGTCCATTGTACACCTTATGAAAATTGAGTCAAACATCTTCTATTTTTAAGTAAGAATTTATAAGTAGCGTATCTAAGAAATTTGTAACAACTTTTAATCGTTTCTTGCAGTAGTTATAACGTGAAGAACGATTAATCAAAATAAAATTAATTTCTGCGATTGTAATATTATTACAATCAAATATAATATAATTATTGTTACCATATAAAATCTTCTAATATCGTTGTCAATCGAATCATACAAATTCATGAAAATTATAAATCCAATTTATCGAATTTCACAGACGTTGGCGAAGCGATTTATACATGATATATCATCGATCGTTCTTCCAACTGTTCGTTTAATCCATTTATTCCATTTCCATTTATTATAAAATTTTGCTGACGATTTTATTACGGCACGATCTTGTAAAATTTCATCGAGACGACACTGAATCTTTAAGATATTCCCTTCGTGCTTGGTAGTACATATCTTCAGGATTGATATATATTTAAAAGTCGAAGGAATCTTGCGAATTCGACTCAATCGATCGATAAAGTTGTTGTTAGACAGGGATGAGATTTTGCCGGTGTTATTCCGGTTCCAGAATTTCTAGGTTACGAAATTGTTGGAAGTTGGCGAGTTAAGAAAACTCCACACTGCTGTATAATTTTGTAATGTGTACTTATCCTTCATATAAGATATTCCTTTTCCAATTGTTTTCGAAGGTGCATGCAAATTGGATAAGATAAAAAGAGAAGAAAACTGATACTAATAGTTTTCGAGCGATTTATAAATTTCATTTAAAGGAAATCGCTAAATTATTCCATTTTTCAATTATTCTTTAATTTTTTAACAATGAAATTCCTTTTTATATTAAATATCCTTTGAAACAATTTCATCAAATATATCAGTAATAGAAATGCTTTGCATGTTCCTCTTAATTATTCGAAAAAGAAAAATATTTGAAATATTGTATATATAAATATACAAATAGATTCAATCAAGAATCATTCAATTTTTAAACGTAATAAAAATTCGACGTATTAACATCGCGAGTAGATGAATAACAATTTAAAATTCACCTCAATTTAATCGACAATGAAGCAATTAACGAATGATTCCTCGCTTCAACGAATCGATCTGAATCCGTGCTCTACTTGGATCTGTTTATCTGTTCACGGTTTGTCAAGATTCCTCCGTCGCGAAGTGTTCAGGAATAATCAGTCAACGGTTCGTTTTTCCTCTCCACGCCCGATACAAGAGTCGAGTTTCTTTTCTCAGCTACTTATTCGAGAATGGGGCGCATCGTTCTCGGCTTCTCCAATCTCCATTGCAAATCAGCCGCGCCGAATTTGCAGTTTGAAACGGTGATCGATAAATTCGGCCTCTTTACGACCTTATTTGGCAGCCTGTTCGGCTAGAGATTGGCTCCTCCGGCGTTGGCGCTGCATAATCAAGATAAAGATTGGTTACTGCCCAGGCTCCATCGTGGAGGCTCCTTTAGAGATCGGGAGAAAACCGGATACCGGAAGCTCTGCCAACTTCGATTTGGACTCGGCATCGTCGTAACGGAGATTAGATTAGGTGGCGTTCCCTTTGGACCTTCCCAGATGGAGAGATTGCTTTGTAAGCAGATCCAAGGGCGGCAGTGGTGGATCGCCGCTGAAGAGTATCCACCTTCCTCCTCTCCCTTTCCCCCTTCGTTTGGAAAAGAACAGGCCGCTGACTATTAAATTAAGGCTTCGAGTGACGCAGCTAACTCGAAAACATTTCAACCCGATGCTCTCCGCTTCCCTTTCTCACGCTGCTCAGATTTTTCATTTCTCTCATAGTTCCTTTTTTTCTTCTTTGTTAAGGGAAGTGAAGTGAGAATTGATTTTAAAATTATTCGCGTTTAAAAATATTTTTATAATTATATTTATGCTTAATACAGTTAAGTATTTGGATGCTGCTTTGTCTTTAAAATTATCCATTTAATTATAAATATCACAAGCGTTTAATTGGTTCTTGATTTTTAATGTATTAAATTGTAGAAAAAGTGTAAAATGGTATAAATAATGATGCTTGTTCTGATAACAACCCAGTTTTATTATCTGTAAAATGACGATTATGGAAATAATTTAGACGCGTAAAAATTGTTCCAAATTGTGCATCATAATTAGAGGAAAATTCGCTTTGATAAATTTTATCTGATCCGTTAATCCTTTTTCAAGTGGAAAGGGAAACAATTTTGGCACAAAAAAACGGAAGTAATAGTTCGGGATGACATTGCTTTTAATTTTCTTTCCTATAGATTTACTTAATTGCACCGAGTTGAAGCTGTTTCCCCGGTAAGATGAGAGCGCCACCCTGTCGCAATCAGTTGATGGCTCAACGTAACCACCATTCTTTCTTTTCATTCCTCTCACTGAAATTACTTTGCATTCAAGTCGAATCGGTCACGATATATTCTTTCTCTCTTTTTCCCTCGATGCCACCACAATGCAACCATTCTTCGATACTATTTCATTCGAACAATCGACCAATCGAACTATAGGCCACGAACAATGGCACTCGCGTTGTCCATTGGACAGCTAATGAAATTGTTTTCTAATTTGCGCTCTCTATACTCTCTCTCTTTCTCTCTCTCTCTGTTTTCTAGATCGAGAAGAAGGGTAACTAACATTGACATTCGACAATTCGAGTCCCGAGGCGCACGATGCGATTCGGATTAAGTGCACTTGAACACGGATTGCGTGCCAGTTTGAAAACGAGCTGAACCAGAGGGTGGCTTGTTTATTGGGCACGGGAGAAGGATGCTTGAATTTCACGCGTGATAGGAATTTTCGTGGAATAGCGCAATATTCAAAGTTGTGTCTTTTTCGAAGTTGTGAATTTTAATGAAGGGTGAAATGAGAGAGAGAGGGGGGGAGGTTTTTAAATGGTACTTTTGGAATTTATTGGCAAACCATGATCTGTGAATAATCGGAAAAACTTTGATAAATGTTCCAGAAAATTTAATATTCTGATTGACAGGCTTGCGAATATTTATAAAAAATAAAATTTTATGCGATTGAAATAGAGAGAAGCATTATTCCTTAAATATCATAATGCTTATTATAGTTTGAATACTTCTATCTGTTCTCTATTCATTATGTCTATAAAAAAATGAATCAAATAACAATTTTAATAAATAAGAATTCACATTTTCTATATTGAAATATTTAAATTATAACCTGATTAATATTTAAAGTTATAGCCTCAAGTATCAGATCCAGATATTGCAGGAAACGATGTACATTTATATTCGAGTTTCTCAAAAACTAAAACAAATTATTTCTTCTTTCCCAATACTCTCATTATCACCCAAAGACAAAAGATAAATTTCGTCAAATGAAGTCAAATTCCATTATAAAAACACATACATCATACAAAGATCGTTTTCGCTCCAAAATTGATTTCCCCGTGTTCATTTCATATTCATCGAAGTCCCCGGTTGAAAAATTAACAAACGAACGCGGTCGGGTTTAAAGGCTTTAAAAGTTGGACGAATTTTAGGCGAAAATTAGCCGAATCCACGACGACAGAGGGAATCATTCTTTGTCACGCGCGTGCACCGTTTAACAATAATTATCTCGCGCAATTAACGAACCGATTGCCGGCTGTCCCGAAAGTTTCCTCGTTATAAATAATTGCAAATCCACGGCCACCGCGAATCTCTCCCCCGCCGCCAGCCACGCGTCAAACGTCGCTCGCCCCC